GGCAGTACCACTTGCCCTTTGATTTATGGTTGAGTCCCACGCAGGAGAAGTGGAACCACTCGATGGGGCACTGGTCGTGGTCACAGCCGATCATCTCTCCATAGGAGACCTGATTGCACAGACAGTACGTGGGCTCCTTGGGGTCGATGGGGAGGTCTGCGGGAGAGGCTTCCCTCTCTGCTTTGGCCTTGGAGCGTTTCTTCTTCTTTGAGGTTTTTGCTTTCTTCTCCTTGGGCGTTCCTGAAATGATGTCATCACGGTCGTGATTATTAGATGCATTCTCTCGATTCTCCTTGTTTCGCTGCCTCCAGGACCCCGGCTTGGTGTTTGGCTTGTGGGCCTGAGCGATGGTCTCACTCTTTGACTTGTCCTGGCCGGCCTTGCCGCTGCTGCCGGTGCTGTCGCTGATGTCCTGGTGGGCTTCGAAGCGCTCCACATGACTGTCCAGCTGCCTGGTGCGATTCTCCACCAGCTCCACCATCTGACTGACGATCTGGATCTTCTCATCGCCCAGCTCCTGGCTGCGGATCAAGGCCCTCTGGATGCAGTGCAGCACCCGCCTCTTCTGGGTGCCGTCCTTCTCCCGCTTGAACTTCTCACAGTTGTGAACCAGCTCCTTCAGGATCTCTTGGTATTTGGCGTCGATCTCCCGCATCAGCGAGACCTTCCTCTGCAGGTCGAAAGGCAGTGACTTGACAGAGTCCAGGTAATCCTCGACATAGTTCACCAGGTGGATCTGCTCCCCGTTGTCAGGATTCAACATGGTTCACCCCGGAGGTCCCCGGAGACTCGGCGGCTTTCTGCTTCCTCAACCCCCGGCCCCCCTCAAACACCACTGCAAAACGCAAAAGGTCTCGCCCTCCCGCGTTCCGGGGCCGAGGGAACACCGGCGCCTGCAAGCACGGGCTGCGTCGGCCGAGGCTCTGGAATTAGCTCTTGTAGACCAGGCTGGCCTATGAACTCACAGATATCTGCCTGCCTCTGCATCCCGAGTGCTGGGATTAAAGGCGTGTGCCACCCAAATGCCCAGCTGGTAACACACACCTTTAATCCCAGTAGTTACACTAGTTGCTATAGAAACCGGGTGGGGCATGCCTTAAATCTCGGTCTTAGAGAGGATTTAAAAGCGGAGGAGACAGCTCTCAGAGACAGTCTAATTCTGAGGTTCTCGGAGTAAGGATCGACATTTCAGACTGAGGTAAAGGTAAGAGCCAGTGGCTGACTGTTTTGCTTTCCAGACCTTCAGAAATTAAACTCCAATTTCTGTCTGAGTTTTTTTTTTTTTTCCCAGGCTGGGTGTCCTTGTCGTTTTAAAGCCTGTCCTGGAACTAGCTTTTATAGACCAGGCTGACTTCCAATCAAAGATCTTCCTGAGGGCTGGAGAGATGGCTCAGCGGTTAAGAGCACTGACTGTTCTTCCAGAGGACCTGAGTTCAATTCCCAGCAACCACATGGTGGCTCACAACCATCTGTAATGAGATCTGGCGCCCTCTGGCCTGCAGGCATCCATGGAGGCAGAATGTTGTATACATAATAAATA